CTTCTGCGCCGGCACAAATATCAACTGTCCGGCCCAAACTCCGGCAGGTCCTGCCCCACGGCCCGGCCCGCCTAGGGCGGGGGCTGGGCACGTCGCCAGGGCCCAGCGCTGCCAGCCACCTGTCCCCTGCGCCAGGCTCCTCGTGGCTCCCGGCCAGAAGCGGCGCCGACGCGATGCCCCCGCCCCTACGTCGTCCAGCACCCCGAGCTCCCCTGAGGCCTGAGCGGCTGGACCACGCACACCCACAGCACCCACTGGGGGCGTGACGCGCCCAATGGGACCCAGAGCGCCCTGCTGCACACCCGAGCCTCTGCTGGCCCCGGGCGCAGTGAAGCGGCCCTCTGCGCACGCAGCGCCCCTCGCCCCACGCAGGGGCGGTGCCACCCCCAAGGTGCATGACTGGCACCGCAGGAGCACACGATGGGGGCCTGAGCCCCGGGGAGAGGCTGCGCGGTGGAGGGGGTCAGCACACCCGAGGCGGGGGCGATAGAGTCACGTCTCCCCCCCCCTAAGGACACTCCGGGAACCTCGAGGAGACAGTGTGGGTGGGGCAGGGGCCCAAATGCTGCTCCTCTGGAGTGGCCAGAGTTGCAGGTCCTGTCCTGGGGCTTTCTGAGGGTGGGCACCCCCCATGGAAGGGGAAGGAGGTGACAGGGCACAGACGCCTCCCCACCCCAGACGCAGCTGCACAGGGCTCCCAGAGGACAGTGCGGAACCACTAAATACTGTTTCATTCCCCCTCCCCCAGCGGCCCCCAGCCCTGCCCGGGTAGGGGTGGGCAGAGAGGCTCCTCCAGAGTCAGGGTGGGGTCCATGGAGATGGCTAGGAGGCCCTGATCGTCCAGGGTGGGGTCAATGAGTTGGGATTCCATATGCATCATGTGATCTTCCTGGACCCCGAAGTGCTCCACCAAACTGCAGGACGGGAGGGGGTGGTCAGTGCTCCGAGAACCATGCCCCCCCCAGGGGCAAGGAGCAGGGGCACAGCTCACCCTTGGGGTCCTCCCTGGGGTCACTCACCTGCTGTCCATGGCTCCCCTGATGTTTTCACTAGGGGGGACAAAGGCAGGTGTGAATTCTAGAACGGCGCTGGACCCCAAGAACCCAAAAATGCCCCCCCACCTCTCCCCAGCCCACAGTCTGGGAATGCTAGGCCCAAGTCCCTGGCAACATCCCACCTGGGGGGCAGAGGGCCCTCTCCTGGCGAGACCGAGGGCCCAGGGCAGGCAGCTTGGCCCTGCAGCCCTCACCCACCCAC